AGTAGTAGTAGTAGTAGTAGTAGTAGGAGTAGGAGTAGGAGTAGGAGTAGGAGTAGGAGTAGGAGTAGGAGTGGTAGTAGTAGTAGTAGTAGTAGTAGTAGTCGTCGTCGTAGTAGTAGTAGTAGGAGTAGCAGGGGTAGGAGTAGGTGTAGGAGTAGGTGTAGGAGTAGCAGTAGTCGTAGTAATAAGAGTAGTAGTAGTCATAGTAGGAGGAGGAGGAGGAGGAGTCCAATAGGAGTAGGAGTAGGAGTAGCAGTAGTAGTAGGAGCAGCAGCAGTGGTAGGGGCAGTTGTCCAGTGTTGTAGTCGTTGTCGTGGCCGTGCTCACCCTACTAGTACCACGACTAGCAGAACCTGCGCTATCATCTTGTCGATAGGTTCCATGACGGTCGTCTCAAGAGGTTCGAAGCACAGCATTCAAAGGCAGATCACGGGGTCCAGAAGCTTGCAGGCCGTCAAGACAGCAGCCGCGACACCAGGAAGGCAAGCAACAGCGAGATTACCGGGCAAAAACAACGAACAACAAACGTTCTGTAGCAAACGAGGTTCCTCTTCGGGAACTGCTGGCTATCATGCACACTGTGTTCATGCTTTTAATACCTAGAGCCCTAAACTGTAACCCGGACACAGTTCGCAACGCAGCGTCTCTTGTGGTTGTCCCTTGGCCAAGACCATGCATGGACAATTTTGTACTTGCTGTGCATCATCTTCCCCGGAGGGTTCCTTAGAATGTACACCAAAATAGATGTGTAGAGTCTAGAGCTATGGAGGTATTCATCGGATTGAAACGCAGCAACTCCAAACAGCTCCTACCTGGGCGTCCGTGACAGAATAGGAGGGGAGACGCAAGGACAGATGTGAAAATGCTCTGCTGCACAGTGAGATTTCTATCATGCTCGTGATTGTGCTGCAACAACATCCGAAGGATCCTGCCTCAGCGCCTGCGGAGGCAATGCTGTTTGTTGGCGTCTTCCCCTGAAGCACGGGGTTCGAAGTCGAAGAGAAGGAACTACACGACACAGTCAACTCTATGCTCATTTGCTCGACCTCGACCGTGCCTGGAGCGGATGATTGCATAGCTTCTACCACAGGCCACTGCACGAGCCGTCTTCATGTCAATACGCCTCGGTTGCCCTCAACGCTTAGCCGGCTTAGCCCCAGCAGGATTCGGTGCAAGTGGAGATCGAGACCAGCAGGGTGAAGCAACCACAAGTTCTGACTCAGCCTGTGGATGCCTGTGGGGTGGTTGAATCAAGATAGTGCTACTTTCCAACATCGAGCAGACAAACATACATATCCCAGCATGCGAAGTCGCCGCTGCACAGTGCATCCTAAGACCGGCTACGTCTGGTTGTCGTCGTGCCTCTAGTCGGTCGACTCGGTCGGCAAGGTTGGCTAAAGCTTTGGCCACAGTGCCTGGAACGATGGCGGACACAGCCGGGCAGACCATCCGTGCATTGCTTCGGGCAAACTCACAGTCGCCAAGCGATGAAATTCTGATACTGTGATACGCTGTGCACGAGACTATGTGCCCGTAAGCTGCTGGTGTTGCCACTGCCGGGGGTGCCAAGTGCATGTCGACTGTCCAAGGCAGCACGTGGCAACTGGAAAAGGGTGCCCCCGCACCAAGAATACCGAAGCACTTAGCACTGCTGACATCTTGCTATGCACCGAACATGCAATGTCGATCCAGGCCTAGCTCACTGCTGAGCCGATCGTTCACGGCCTTCAAATTGTCCATTTCTTCGATCTTGACACAGAGCCTCAGACCCCGGATCTGTATCAACTTGGGAGGCGAGGTCTGGCAACCGCCTGGTGTGTGTATACTCCACCTGCGCACTGCAAGGCCATACGTCATACGTCAATAAAAGAACGATCCAGCACGTGCAAAAGGCAGCTCAGCCCCAGGAAAGGCTACAGTAGGCATATCCCTGCCTATCGAGTCCCTCCGTGAATGAGACCGACTGTCACGACCCCCCCGGGCACAGGCGTTGTCATGGCATCCGCAACTGTCGCCATCTCACCCTTCAGTACCTCTCCGCTGCAAGGATGTCAGCCAACACATTGCATGTCTGAGCCTAGGGGTTAAGCCTTTGAGCTATTCGTCGAGCGATTCGAAAGATCGGGAATTCTCGATTAAAACCCCTTGCGAAGCCTCGGTGTCCGAGACCCGCAGCTGCTCGACCTTTGATCGCATCTCCTTCAGGTCCGTCTCCTCACAGACTTCCAGCAGCTGGCGAAGAAGCGAACTTTAAAACCCTGTCATTGTGATGGCCTGCCGGCTCATCCTCTGCTGCAGCGGCTGCAACATGGCAGCAACCGCCTCATTCGCATCCGTTCAGGGTTCTGAGGCTGGTTCCACCGTGACTGCAGTATCTGCTGGCCTAACTGGCACATGTAAGGAATTACACAGGAATTAGCTATGATTGCACGGTGTTGGGCTTGGTTTAGCAGCAACCTAAACATTGGTGAACAGTCCAGTGGTGCCTCGTGAACCGAGGATGCATTGCTACTGCAGTGCACTCCGAGGTCCGACCATGAACGTCATCGAGGTCTCCCGTGACGCTAAGGAAGGCTCCGACATGCTGAATCAAGGCTCCGGCCACTTTGTCCATGGATCCCTGGGCCGCACCCGAGCAGAACCCCACAGACGCCAGCAACAACGGGAATGCAGCGTTGGCCGCAATGGTCTTACATAGAGTGTTGCACAACAGAGCATGAGAAGCTGTCACAGACTCTTACGCTTCTTCGAGCCTTCAGGTCCTGAGCCCTCCACACCAAAACGCAATCGGACTCCTACTTGAACAACACAAAACCTGAACTCAGAGTCTAAGCTCTCGGCCACATGCTCGCCGGCCTGACTTTCAAGCTTTTACGGGGTTCAGGCAAAGGATCTATCCATCCACCGTCTGTCCAAGCAGAGCCTTCGTGCGATGCTATGCGCCGCATCTCACCTTGAGACATGGCCTTGACGAGCCCTGTGCCCAAAGATCATAACATCAGGCTATCTTGAGGCCGCAGCTGCGTTGAGACTCATCATGCCCTGCGCAAAGCAGGCAGGCCCTGCTCAAACAGAATCCAGAGAGCTGGCCCCCTGCATCTATTCACCAGAGCGTGGGCTCACCCATAGAGCTGCTTCTCCCCCACATCCTGTCCAGCCTGGACACCTGACCCATCCTTATCCAAAGGGTGAGTGCCCGTAGCGATACCCAATCACACTGAGACCGGCGAGCACCATTCAGATTCATGCCCTTGACAGGGTCCCCACGCACCTGCAGAGTTGCTGACAGCTCGTTCTGCTTGGCATGGAGCGACGCTATGCCATGCTCCACCACGGACATGCGGGCCTGCAGTGTGTTAGTGCCGTTCCTGACAGCCTCTGAACCAAGCCTTCTTTCAAACGAGCAGGCATCACATTGTATGGATTGTATCCCAGTCAGTATCGGCTGCTGACGTGTGTCCGTCGTAGATGCACCCCTTCTCGCAAAGCCGGGACAGTCCCAGCTTCTGTCAGTACGCTAACCTAGACTACGAAGATCTGATAATCCGTGAGTAGAGAAATCCCTCTTGATATTGGCCTCATCAGGCCGCCGAGCCATTCCTCGGACGACTTCAGGGGGCTGAAGTCTTGTCTGCCACCCGGACTCATGCCATCAGTAATCACAGCAACATCAACTACTACCAAAACTTCCCCCCTGCTGCCTGCTGCTGCTGCTGCTGCAGCTGCTGCTGTTGTCACTGCTACTCTTGCTACTCCTGCTGCTAATTCTATTCGTACTGGTACTAGTACTAGATAAGACGACGATGATGATGATGATGATGATGATGATGCCAAGCACGACCGTTGCCATTGTTTTGCTGGTGGATCTGTCGAGATTGGTGGCGAGGATGGTGGCCATGATGACCATCATCATGATGATGGCTTCGGTGAGGCAATAACCGCCGTAGTGACGCTGAAATGACGATTCTGATGATCACGATGATGGTGCTGGCGATGAGTATGCTGGTGATGGCGATGATGACTAATTATGATGCAACAGTGGTGAAGAATAGATACTAGTGGAGGGAAGAGGAGAATCCGGGAAATGCATCATTAACTCGTTGCGGGAATGTCAGGTGCAGGATTTCCAGTCCGACGGGAAACCTAAACATAGGCGAGATTCCGGCCAGGAGTTCTTCCTGCATGGCTTCCAGGCCTGACTGCTGCTGTGACATGGCCGTCACTGCAGCTGCGACCTGCACCAGCGCACTGTTTAGACTCTTGGCTGCTCCGTCAAGTCAGGACCTGGGTCGCAATTCCATCGAGCCGCAGGGTTATTTGCTCACAAGAACGCACCGTGCCAACAGCATCCAATCGAAGCAAGCAGGAACAACGCAAACACACCGGGGACGAACACTGGCTCCCATGCTCCTGGAGTTGCTACTTCAACCAAAATGACGTGCTTTTGACCTGGATGATTGTCGGCGACTCAATGTGCTAGCAGAACCGGCACTGCATTCAGTCTGTATGCAGATGCGCTTGTCGAGTGGCTTGGAGGCACTGCATTTGTTGTGGATTCTTGATGGGTGACAGCAAGGCCGTGGCTCAAGGCATGGCACCTCACGGTTGCGCTGCCGTCTGCATGGCACAACAGAGAACAACCAAAGACTTTGATGGCAAGCGGCAAGCGCTTAGCTGAACAGCTCGTGCTCAGGGTTTGTTTTCTTGCTTTGCTGTTCTTGCCTTGGTTCCCAAGCGAGTGTTCTGTGCAAATCCACGCCTGGCCCTTCTCGGCTTGCAGCGCCTGGAGCTGACTTTGCAGCACCCGAACAGCAGCAGACATCTCCTTGGTTGCAGTCCATGCAGCAGTCGGGTACTTTGCAGGCAAGATTGCCATTAGCTCTCACATGCCGGTACTCTTGGCCTTGAGGGCCTTTTCGGAGTTGAGCTGCACAGCATGCTCAATAGCTGCGTCTGTAGTGTCACGCAGTACCCCGCCTGGTAGGATGGCTCTGCAATGCTGGAGCCACGAAGAGCCTGGTGGTGGCTTATGCGGCATCGCAATGTGTGCGTGTATGTGTGTGTGTGTGTGTGAGTGTGCGCGTATATATGTATGTATGTACAGTAGGTATGCAGGTAGGTAGATAGGTAGGTAGGTGTATGTAAGTATGTAGGTATGTCTGCATGCGTGTATGTATGTAGGCACGTGAATTTGCATGTATGGGTATGTAATTACGTATATATGTTTGTATACAGCACGTATGTGTTTGAGCACTCGGAAAGCCAGGTGCATCGAGGTTGTGACTACGAATGCCCGCTATCCCAAGCAAATCAACTCTGGTTCCTCTCCTCGGAAACGGCGGGCCACAACGGTCGGATCGGTCGTCCGCTGTGCCGGGCAGAGCTTTCTTCATTGATCCCGTCGCAGGGGCCCTAGGCTGGGCCTAGGAGAACGCGATGGTCGGAAGTCCAAGCTCGCAGGATCCGGAACGAGGCCGTCTTGCTTTCAAGACTGGAAATCATGCCCTCGGGGTCGGGGGTGGGTGAGGTCGCGACAGTAGGCTTGACCATCATGATCTCAAGACCAGCTTCCAAAGCTGCCACACGGGATCGTGAAGGCTGCCAGGAGAAATTGTCGAGGTTGTACGATAGGCCGCTGATGGAGTGGTCATGTCTTGCGGTGACAGCACCCAAGTCTCGCAAACTGCGCAGTCACGGAATACCAGGTAGGCTCACTTTATATTGCTTCGCTTGGCAGATAGGTGGCCTCAACATGAGATCATCATCATGACAGTGGCTTCGAGAAAGTGCTGAAGGACCAAGCCGTACGAGTGAGACTCGTGTGCTCAGCTTGCCTTTTTCAGGGGCTCACAAACACCACCCAGCCCGCTGCCAAAATCAGCACCGCCTGCAAATGCCCTTCAAAACCTTGGCTCAAGGACCTTTCCTCGAAGGGACATGCATACTTCCAACACTTCAAATCCCAACAAGCCCCACAGTTTCCCCAAAGAATCTCTTTTTCCCAACTTATGGTCTGCACATGTCGTGCAACTTCAGGATTCTAGCAGTGATGCTTCCCGATCAGGACAGACTAGGAACACTTGAACACAACAGCAACAGTTCCCGTTCCTTTCGCAGAAACTCGTAAATTTGCAAAGCCCTGGGGACGTCTGTACATGCTCTTTGGAATGCACTGCCCCATCTGGTGTACTTTTGGGACACAATTGCGGTTCATCGGCACGAGCAAAGCAGAAGCGTCTCACAATGAAGGTTTCAAACCACGAGGTTGTCCTGGAAGTTTCTGCTGCGCAAGGCACAAACCAACAGAGCAAACTTTGAAGATCGTACCTTAAGGGCTTGCAACATCGAGGTCCNNCCCCCCCCCCCCCCCCCGGAGCATTTCGCAATTTGTCGGTTCAGTGATGCACAATGCTTTGTGTATATCAGCTCAGCAGTGGCCTGCTTGCTCACCTATATAGGGCCTAGAGGTTTTCAATGGAGTTGGAATCCTCGTGTACCGTGACACCGTTTGAGTCTTCCAATATCGCATCCCCAACCGAACGTCAGAGCACCATTAAGTTTGGAATCGGCATGGTGGTGAACCGATCACATTGTAACCAGAAGCAAGGAAGTGGTTTGTCCACTGCACATCGTACCTCGATTGACCGCCATTCCTGTTAAAGGGAACCAGAACGTGTGGTAACCGGCGCCTGAACTTCGCCTCCGTCCCATCCCCGCCGGCACCTCAAGACGCCGATGAATGTCCGCGAACTTTGCCTTACGGGGCAACAGATGTGGGTAGGCTTTACTGTAGGGTTTAGGCAGAGATCCGGACAAGGTCTAGGATTTAGGGCACAAGCGCTTACGGGGAGCTTGGCGTTTGAAGGGAAGAGGGACGATAGGTCTCAGGAGCAACAGAGATGTGAACCAGGATTCCATTCGCTGGCAGCAGTTTTGATGAGAGGGACTTAGAGCGCTGCAGTCTCTCTTCCAGCCACAAATCTAGCAGAGCTCGATTGTTCGCTTGCATCGTGCCCGTGCCCAACATCCCAGTTTGTTCGATGCGAGGCCGATGAGGTCGCTATGTTAGTGGGTGCCGACTGGAACATGATTCTGACTCTGAATCTTTACCTATAGTTGCAGAAGTGCAGGCGCGTACGACAAGCCCAATGCCCGTCTTTACCGGGACTTCTCAGGCGATTCCACCGGCTGCTAAAACGAAGGAGGCACAAAGGTTTGTGCACTGTTCTGTCAAGTAAGGCATCATGTGGTCGGGCTTCTACACGAAGCATAATGCCAAACCACAGATGTTCGTTTTCGTCCGGGTTTTGCAAGAGCTGCTTTCGGGTGTTGTCAGCGAGCAGCTGATCCGAAAATGATGCGACCTGCTGTCCGCCAGCTGTAATCGACAGTGAGCAACCAGATATCGAGCCCTTATGTTGCACACGCAGCATTGGTGTGGGTCTGCACCTTGCTTCTCGCAGCAAACAAGCCAACCTGTGTAGGAGCACTGTCAGAACTCCTCGAAGCCGGACTTTACAAGTAGAACTCAGAACCCCGCAACCCATGAAGAAAAGTACATCCTTACCCCAAAGCTCAGGCCACCTCTGCGTCGGACCGCAGCCGTTCCAGGGCCAAAGACATGCTTTCTGGCACCTGGACCCGAGCTCGAGTTACAGTCGAAAACTCGAAAGAGAAGGATCAGCTCAAGACAAGACGCCAAGAACCAGATAATACTAGAACAGGTTACACCAGGAGGCCACACCAAACACCTTGATAAAACAATATTGTCGCTATCCCTGTGCACAGATATGTGCCAACCAGAGTCAAATCAACAAAACATCGCTGCCGCTATGCGCAAGCCGTCCCACCCGTCGCACTCTGTATTGGGAGGGTTATGGAGGGTGGGGTGGTAGGGTCGAAACCCAAAAGGCTGCAACACAGCAGGGCACGCAGACTTCTGCACTCAGGGTCCAATTTCACTAGAGCCGCGAAACGATTTGGAATCATTTTCAAATCGAACCCGCATACCTTCAGAATGCTGCATCAAGAATCAACCAAACCATGCAAAACAAGAACACTAACACTCGAGCACAACAAGAAGAATACCAATACCAAAACACACAACCAAGGCAAGTTTAACCTGAAGCACAGCAACGACAACACCAGTCTGCACTGCCATCCAAGCCAATAGCAGCACCAGAAAAATACGCCAGCCCCACAACTACATCATCATCGTCAACCCCCACTAACAATGCTAGCAGCAACCACGATGCTGAATTGAACATTTAGTGCTGCGACTGCTTGTTGCGATTGTCATCATTGCCACTAACCTCGTTGCTTCTAGTACTGGTTCACTCTTAGTGCTTTCAGTGTTGCGTTGTTGAAGTCGGTCGGCGATGGTTTCACTCAGTGTTACTTGTTTCAAAAGAATATCCATATCGCACGACTGTTGCTGGCATTGGCGTATGGATCTCGGCATGACTGAGACTCCAACAGACTGCGACAGACCCAACCCAACATCCCAAAGCCGAGGCCGCATGGAATCGATCGTAACAAGGTGTTATACAGTATTTCATATTCGCATCCAGAGCAATAAGCAATGCTCTGAGTGCATGCAACGAGGTGGCGCAACAAATTCTATACGGCTGCTCGACTGAATTTTAACCCAAACAGGGTTGTCTCACAGCAAAATGAAGGGCGGACCTCTTTGGCTGAGCCGGCCGGCGGCCAAGTGCCACAGCGCTCGCTCAATTCGTCGAGTCCCTTCCTGCCGAACGGATCCGAACGATCTCAATCTTTCAGCTTCAACCTGCTCGATAGGGGTCTAGAGGATACCAACAACCACTTACTACAACCGCCACATCGACTACTACTGCCACTGCCACTGTGCTATTAGCACGAAGAAACGACCAGCACTTCCCCTACAGTCACTAGGGTGCAGTTACTCGCAGTCGCACTGGTACCACTACGACGGCTAAGAAGCTCGAAAGGACACTATCACAACACTGCACAGGAACGGACCTCAGCATACATCTTGGAGTTCGAAAATGATTATGTATCCGGCAGCCAATGAATGCTACTTTTTTTTGCTGCTGGCAACAGAACGGCGACACCAAAGGCTAGTCAAAGTCCAGCTCGCAGCAACAAACGCTCGAGAAGCGACAATGTGGTGCGGCCCGGCCTCAGAGCCTTCAACATGGCGTCTGTAGCCGTGTCGGTCGCATTTCGGGCTTCGGTCACCTGCCAGCAAAGGACAGCGAAGGCGGGTTTTCGCACACCTCGCAGATAGCTCCAGATGTACCGTATGCCGCATGTGATGGACCGGGCCAGCCCCGACACTTGGTTCCGGCCTGCTGACGCACGATATGTTCGTAACTCCCAAAGCACTTATGGAGTTGGCCTGGGACCCCTTCCCCCAGAAACACGTGTCGGATGCGCTCTCACTACGAGTGGCATCGTTACATGTTCAACTCGAAAAAGAACCCTTGTCAGAACCTGTGCTGAAGTGGCACCGTCACGACACTGCATCTTTTTTTGGCCATTTACAAACGCCGCAAGACGAATGTTTTCTGTGAGACCACGATCTGCAGCACAGCGACCGGCTGCTGTGAAAGAACCTCGAAGTCATTCCGAGACATCATAACCGTCGGGCTTGCGATGATGATGATGATGATGGTGGATGAAGATGAACAGCGGTTGCATGTGCTTGCATACACAGGTGCGTGCCTAGATGCATAGATACATGCATGCAAGATGCATGCATGCATGCACGCACACGAAAATGCATAAAGTCACATATGTACACACGCTGACATATACACCTGTAGACATATAGAGGTATACATAAGCACATATACGCATACGCATATGCACAGACAAAGAAGTATCCTTATACATATAACTGCACATTTACATACACACATGCACATACACATATGTATTATGTACACGCGTCCATATGCATGTACATATAATATACATACGTATATATATATATATATATATACACATGTGTATATATATATATATACACGCACATCAGTATGCTTACTTATAAGCACACTTACACTTATATGATTATGTACTTATACAGTTGTACATATATATATATATAGAGAGTTATATAGTTCTAGAAGTAAAAAGTTACATACGCATAAAACCGTATCACTATATAGTTATATAATTCTATAGTTGCATAATTATATACATCATGCTACACGTATAAGCATGTAACTGTATAGTCATTCTGACAATACATTTATCATCACACACACACATATGTATATTTTTTGTTTTAATTGTCTACACAGGGCTGCTTCCCACCCCGGCTGTGGAATGGTTGGGTGGTTTAGGCCTCCCCCTCTGACCCTTCAGTGGACGGCTTGGGCCTTGAGCATCGGAGTTCAGTTCTTTCGGCTGCCTGGGTTGAGGCTTCACGGGGCTGGTGGTGGCAGGGGGGCGACACCATTTGCAGGGGGAAGAGGGGGGAGGGGGGGCAGAACGCACAGCGCCCATTCTATAAAATATGCATTACGTATTTCGTTAGATGGAGTCCAGAGTTTTTGAGCTTTAGGCGGTCGACCAGCACAGTATCCTCAAGTCAAGAGCAAGCTCCCGCAAAGATGAGACATCGGGCGCTGAGGTTTGCTAGCAGAAAGGGTGTTCGGATGAAGTCTCGAAACACTCGATGGCTCCAAAGAAATCGCCTGAAGCTCCCGCCACCAAGTCGGACTGCGATAGTCAATCTTCGCTAGCCCAAACGTGCTGCGCTGTAGCTTCAGTTCAAGTCAGCATCACAAGTTTCCGGGTCATCATGGAATTCGAGGAACGCTTCGCAACCAGAAGGAGTGGCCTGGGTTCCCAAGCCACAAGGGAGGCTTTGCCTGTGACTTGTTGCCGGGCTTCTTGAGATCGATTGCCGCAGCTCTGCGGGATTCGGAAGGGCATCCTAGAGAGCGAGCATACTCGTTGGAGAACTTAGCAGACCGTACTAAGGGGTTGGATAGCAGAAGAAACGCGCATGGTGTGTTCTCCAACAGGTGTAGCCCTCCAAGAACCTTTGCACAGTCCGGACGATGCTCCTTTGGAGTGACCGAACGCAACAAGCGTATGCGCGGATGGAAGTGGATCGGTGTGTTAGGGTGGACATGCTTAGTGCGACGTCTGGGTCTCTGCATGTACTACTACTGCTGCAGCGAGCTGGCCATCAAGGACCCCAATGTCTTTTCAACTACATCAGTGCAACTTCGGAATCGAATAAAGTCACAGAATAAATTGTGGTCGCTTCGGTTGGCTAAGGCGGCTAAGCGAAGCCCAGATCTTCAGCCAGACCCATGTCAAAGATGTCCTGCCAGGATGCGGAGGAGGCGAAGGGTTCAGGAGATTGGGGCCAGGGCGTGCATGGGGTTTGCCCGTGTGCCGTCCTCCAGACTGATGTCTCGCACAAGCCTGCCACAGTCCAGATGTGTCAACACATTGGATTGTCGAAGTCAGCTGGCCACAAAACCCCTGCAGTACTCCTGTCAGCTTGATTCAAGATGACGGGCACGGTCGGATGTCGCAGATGTCCAGCAAGTGTCGGCAGGCTACTCAGCTTTTCTTCTCCCCAAGTTACTGAACTCAACACGGTTGATCTTCAACTAGCTACAGTACCGACCGCGGCAATTTGGTTTCTAGCTGCAGGGAGACGCTCGAGTGCTCCTTCGTATGGCACGGGCAGCCCGCTACAAGACTTCCTTCAGAGAGGCTCTGTCCATCAGATGACTGGGCGAGGAAAGTGTATTCCTCTAAATTGGATACTCGAAACAGCAAACAATTAACTGCTCATGCTTTGGAGCCTTTGCTCATCATGCAAGCACCTCAAATGTCAGAATAACGGTGGAGGATTTACGTACGAGCCGAGGTTTTCGGATCCAAGGCAACGTTGGAATCGGGCGCGAGTGGGAGGCGGGGGGATAAGTAGCTGTCATGCTGCTACCGCTGCCTCATGCTTGTGCATAGCAACTTCTGCTCTTTCGGTGCCCCCTTTAAGGGGTCTGAGCCATGCCGGCACTGCCAAAACACGAAGCATTCGAGGTGCCAAGGCGTAGTTAGGATTACAAAGTCCCGGATCCCGGATCCCTCGCAACTCGTGCAAAGAGCAGAAATTGCCAGGGATGCCCGCCATGTTCCAGGTCTATCCTGCGGTGCACATGAACGCGGGAGAAGCTTGGGGACGTCATCTTGACCGCATTGCTGATTGTTCGTCGGTCACTAGGGGAAACTGAAGCACCTATTTTTCACCATTGCCGATCGGGCTGTGGGGTATTCCACGCAAAAGCCTTGCCCTGGTGTTTCGGAGGGTCTCACTTCTGCTGACCGCCTCGTCGAGCTGAAATTCTCGAATCCAGAAATCAATTCGACAAACTTCGTCCTACATTCCGACCTTCGTTTCGAACACTTCCCAGCGTTCGGTACGCAAGATCCGATCTCCATCTTCTCAAGGCAGGTCAGCCGCCTCTAAGAAGTACGAGGTCCCTATACGCTCGAGCCGAAGAGACTCTGAGAGCCGAAGTGAGCCGAAGCGAGCCGAACTCTGGGCCGCGGAGTCCTGAGCCGGCTTTGTCCGACGCGGCAGGCCGCGCGAGGCCCCGAAGCACACCAGGGCCTGGCTGGGCTCTGCCTTAGGCACCTTCTTCTGCAAGATCCCTCTAAGCTCCTTTCAACGTTCACCGGCCGGCCAGCAGGCGGGCCTTCCTCATGAACCCATCTGAACCGTACACGTTCTCACGCCAAGTGATTTCGTGTCTCGACAGGGTCACGCCATTCTTCTTCCCACAGTGCTCGTCCTGAGCTTGCTTGTTGTTGCCTTTCCCCCAGTGCGTGCACTCTTTCTTTCACCAGGGTTGTGGTGAAGGGCCTGTGGCCCCTGACCGCGCGCTTGCGCTCTCTCTCTCTCTCTTCTATACGCTCTCTCTCTCTCTCTCTCTCTCTCTCTCGTTCTCTCTCTCGCTCTCTCTCTCTCTCTCTCTCTCGTTCTCGTTCTCATCCGGAAAGTCGCACGAATCCCGATTCATCTCCGTCGCCTACCGCTGCTTCCGAAAGTCATGGGCCCACAGGCTATGCTATTGATGACTCAAGCAGCGCCCGCCACTGTGAAAATGTCATAACTTGTGGCCAAATCGGCCAAACCACAACTAGTCAGATAAGTGCAAATCCCAGCCTGTCCGGTGGCGGTCCAAACTCCTCTTCCACTTCTACAGCAAGGCGAATGGAGTGTTGAGGGGTGGCTTCATGAACTGTACAACGTTTGTCCTTGGAAGTCAGACCAGGTGACCCGCATGGGGAGGCTGGGGAGGTACTGATTGCACGATACCCAGGTTCATCCCAAAATGTTAAGAAAATGGGCAACCTGGACCTGAGTCGCGAAAGGAAACTGAGAAACAAAGCCAGGGAAGGTCAGAGAGCGGGGCAGTGAGAGCGAGCGGAGCAAGCGAGGAGGAGTGGGAGGGTTGAGAGTCAGAGAGAGAGAGAGAGAGAGACAGAGAGGGAGTGCGAGAGCGAGAGAGCGGGTGAGTGTGAGAGACAGAGAGAGAGAGAGAGAGAAAAACAAAAATGCGAGATGGATAATTAGTTGGTAAGAGCATAAAACCAGGCAAGTCCTGATGTGCCATGACATACGGCTGAACTGCGAAGAGCTGGCCTTGCACAAATGCCCCATGCAGGTCTTGTGCTTCTGTCGGGCGCATGAAAAGCGTCTTCTTTCTAAGCTGCGGCAGGGTTATGTAGGTGTTTGCCACATTTCTGCAAATGTCTCAGGTGGCTTAGTAATCTCGCGACCCATACCTCTGGGTGCAGTTTATTGGCTCAGCCATAGGCCCAACCAAGAACACAACTGCGATCGAAAACACTCTTGCCTTCCAGAACGCGAAGGTGGGAAGCTCGGGCTAGCCAGCAATCGCACATTTCGCGTACGGCAAAGCTGCAATAGTTCTTAATAGCTTCCCAGAAGCAACCCTGGGAGTTACAGGAATGAATGACAGCACCAGTTGCTCTATGTTCCGCCTTACGTCACGTCTACAGTCTACAGCACGAATGAAACGAAGGCCAAAGGCGGCACGCCTTCCTCATCTTCACTGACCGCCATAATACGACCAATGAAATGGCCTTGCGACTGCAAAGTGCTTTGGAGCTAGAGCCTGCGGGCCTGTGCCCCAGGCCTGAACAGGAAGTGCTCCGTATGCTAGCAGCCGGGATCTCACCGTGAAAGTGTCAGTTCAAGGGGTATCAGTAGCACTTACTTACCCTAGACCGTAGTTGGTCTTACAGGGACTGTCAATGGAGGCTTGGTCCTCATTGCGCGTGACCACCAGCTTCTGGACATAAAGTGATGCAGAATGAATGTGACTCATAGAGTCAATGACGTCGCTTGCAAACTAAAGCAATGCCCATGTTGACCTCTTGCCCCTGGGGTCTAATTTCACGTCAACAAGCTCGTGCCATGCCTGATTCGGGCTTGCCAGCAGCTCGCTCCCAGACCTTGGTCCGGCTGGAATGCGGCAACTTTTGCAGCTTTTCCGGGCTCTGATCGGTCAGCTGTGCTGGTCGATAGGTTGCAACAGGCAAACACTTTCGACGCCAAGCGCCTGAAGTGTACCGAGCAGGCTGCTAAGTCTGCTCTGCGACATGTGGAGTGGAACTTGCGGTGCTTACAAACAAGACCCGAAGCATGGGATGCATGGGATGCATCCCTTCGATGAACCTCAGCCAGGCACCGCGAAATCGTAGAGCATCAGCTCCGGCAGCTTTTGGATGTGAAGCACACTCGCCTTGACTTGAGAGGCTGGTCTGCTCCGGTTCGCTTCGAAGTTCGCATTCCATCAAGAAGAATGCTATTCTAGGCTTGAGTTGCGAAGCAGATAGGCCGATAGGTTACCCTCAGAATCTTCCGAAGCATGCCTCCGTTCTCGCACGCAAGGATTACAATGCGCATTCCTAGATGTGTCATGACCTGTTGCCTGGTGTCCACCGGATGTTTGTAACCCTGGCGGCACTTCATGTAACTGGAAGATCAGAAGTCGCTGCTCAGTCGGGAGCTGTCACAAGCCGATGCCGAACCGGCAGCGTGAAAAGCGGCTTGACAGCTTGCACCTCGTATACGCAGCATTGGTCTGTGCGTGCATGTGCGTGCACGTGGGCGTGCGGGCATGCGGGCGGGCGGGGTGTGTGTGTGTGGGTATAATCACCGCAGCTCGTCTTGTGGAGTTTCGTCATCTTTCACGGATCCCAAAGGTTTCTCACCAATGGGGAACTGCAATGGCCTTGACATAAAGACGATAATCTGACACCATGTAGCGGCCGGACTGTCTGAGACGTTTTGTGTTTGCTGAGCCCGAAACACCAAGCATTGAAGCCTCACTGTTGGGCAATACTTTCCTGCGAAAGCGTCCGCAAAGTGCAGAATCTTCTTCCGGCCTTGAAGTAATTGCCCTGTTTCCCGAGGAAGCCGTCCAGTCGCAGGCGGACCGTAGTTGACCGCTCTTGAGCCTGCGACCAGCGGAAAGCGGAGAAGGACGCGAACTTAATGTAAGTTTTCGCTTGGTGCATCGGAGCTCACGATACTGAATTTACGAAACAGCTTTGGCAATGAAGACAATAGGGAAGAAGCATCTTCGTCCGGCATCTGGACTGCTGCGTAAAACTACAAGAAGTACTTGCCTGCACTTTGCTGAACTTAGCTTCTCTGTCGCAGCGACTAACTGCAAGTTCGATTGTCCGGCAGGACCTTGCACCGAGCTCGGAAAGCTTCGGAAGGGTTTACAGTAGCGTTACAGGTGTAAGTCGGTGTGTGTACTGTCCAACATTCGCTTCGGCTTCCACTGTGAAGGCTTCGACTCCTTAGCAAGTCGGTGTTCTGTGCAAGTGTCTGTCCCCAGCTGTGGCAATTCTTCGGTCGAGAACCTATCTCCGCAATGCGATGCTTCTTTCTGCAGCCAAAACCCAACTTAATGGAGGTGAGAAGCAAGGTGAAGAACGATGAGCCTAGTGCGGATAATGCACCTCGATGACCACTCCATGTTCACCCGCTTTGTACGACTCCTGCAAGAGTCCGCTCACCAATCGCACATTTCATGTTCTCGTGAAAAGCTCGCTGATGTTCATGAACTCCGGCAAGTCTATTTGTGTTGGGTTTGTGTGGAAGATCTTCCTCTACAGAGCTCGACGCCACGGAACTGACTGAAGCCAGTTAGGGATAGACAATCCACTACCGACAGAACCCAACAACGCAGGGGCAGTGCACTTTCGCATGGCCTCGTGGTGGAAAGGGTTGTGGCGGTGGACTTTGACTACCACCCTGTCCTAGCACAGGCAAGCACTGACTGTCGTTCAGCGCATGAAAACCGTGTTGTGTTAAGTGCCCATGCAAGCAGCTACAAGCAAGAGGATTCACAACACGTCCGCAGTCTTGTGGTCGGCATGCGCACTAGCAAGTTGTCTGTCAGTCGCTGGCTGAGGAACACCGGGAGTCCCTCCCTATCTGGTTGCAGAGTGCAAGACGATTCAGCAAAGTAGCAAAGACGCGCTGGAAGCACTGAGGGGTCTTTGGCCTCTTGCAATTGAGGGCCCTGCCCCGGGAGCAAAGTCATGCTTGAAGGGCATGGGCTTGGTGGACGGTGCACAAACGGTTCAGCTTCGAAGGTGCTGCTGCATATGGCTCTGTTGAATCTCTTGATGTAAACGTGAGGAGTTTACATGCGCCTGCACCATCGTCAACAATCCTCCGCTTACCACAAGTACACAGTTGGGCGGTCGCAATTTCCTCCGCAGAGGCTGCGGCTACTTTCTGCAGTGTGTCGCATGCGATGCGGCCGACCTATATTTGAGCCGAGATGTCGCATGGCCATTGGTTCCAGATTTCCGTGGCAGATTGAAGATACCGAAACATATCCGAGACTGCAGAGCACATCAACCTTACAACCAAGAGCAACAGCAACGACGACGGCCTCGCGCACACCCAAGCCCAAGCCCCACCAACGGCCTGGCCGAGGGAGACCAAAGCGGCAGCGAGCCTGGCATCGAGGTCCTCCACCTTTCCGCGAAAGCCCCATCGCCCAAGCAAACTTAAGCTCGGCCGAAGCGTAGACTTTCGCCTGAAGGGGTTCTGGGCAAGGCTGAATTGCTTGATGAGGCTTGATGTGTAGCTGACCAAAAACACCAAATCAAAGATCCGTAACCACAACCCTAAACCAGAGCATCCACCGAAGCCCATAACCTTACGTATCCATTCTATAACCAATATCCTAATGAGGTCTGGGTTAGCGACCCTCATAGAAAAAACCCAGAAGACCTTAACCCTGAGCTGGAAAGGCTCCCCTCCATAGCAAACCTACTCCTAAACGTTGAACCCGTCCCAATGTCTGGTTGCGCCCAGAACGGTTCTCTTCTCTGCTGTACAAGTGCAACTCCTACCAATGCAGCTGGCACTGGATCCGCGACACCTGTCAAGGCCTTCCTGTTATCCATCAGCACATAGATCCTCGCGATGGGCACCGAAGAACGGACCCAAAAAGGACAGGTGCACCTTGACATTCGCATACTGCTGGATGTTGCTCGGGGTGATGATGCTAATTCCGACGACCCACCAGCTCCAGCCGCGACTTACACGCGGGTGAGCATTGCGTGTTGCAGCTGCGACGCTGTGATTGGATAAGCACCCCCCAATCCATGGCAGAGGCATGCCACAGCACTGCAACACCACTCCACTCAAAGAATCTGCCACACTGAACTGGGCTCGCCTGCATGTCCGCCGCATCCGGCCCCTGGCCCGTAGCGGATCCAGATACCCCAGCAGATTTCGAATCTCGTGGATTCTGACGATGGGCTTCAGATCTCGTAAAGAGCGAACTGCTTGCAGAGCCTGTTCCTTCAAGAACTGGTGGCCGGCTGGTTGCAGCATCGTGTCTGTCATTGTGTTGCTCCCACAGCGGCGGGCATCCAACATGGAAGCATCAGAATTAAGCATAATCTGCCGATTCCCCTTGCACGGAAATAATTCGAGAGTCATTCTGTGATTGCTGATGCATTACGGACATGTGGTGCAGAGTGAACCTGAGCTCAGCAAAGGTCTCCACCAGCAAGCGCCTGATTGAACTTAGTTCATTAAAAAAGCGGTCGTATGTACGACCATACACATCTCCACAAATGCCCAAGCCAAGATGGTCTACCCCGGCCATCGTGGAACGACAAGATGGAATTGCAGCTGCCATGGCAGGGTCAGGACACTAAGCCGTATGAAGCATGAACCTTCATCGTTTTCTCACCACAGCAGCGGCGAGCAGTTACGCCACATTCACCCTGAGTGACATGCCTGGCATCCCACAGCGGCAGTAGCCCGCGCCTTCTGTGTCAGTGGATCTGAACCTGAGGCATCAGGCAACCTTCAACTCTGAAAACACATTCTCGCGCCCGGGAGTGGGCTGCCTGTTTAGGTTTGCTGAACCTCTCTGCTCAGTGTTTGAAGCTCGTCACAGCTTCCGAATTCTGCGTGGTGTCAATGCAGAGGTGAAAGTGATGGTGGGTGTGACGACCTTTCGACAAGCCCCATAACCCTGTTTCTTCATCTGGAGCCTTGTAGATGCCGCTGCTTCAACTCAAGGGTTCTGAAGAGAGCTAAAGTGCCAAAGTTGGCGCTCTGGTTGTTGCGGTTTCCACGCCTGTGCTTTTAGGCTTGATGGTGCGAAGATTTCTGGTTCATGGTCGGGACTAGCGTGGGAGTGAGGAGTGGAACGCAGGGATGGTTTTGAAGGCTGCAGGCTTCTTAAGAACATGATGACGGCCCAAGCTAACTCTCCTGTCGTCAGAAATTTGCAATACTACCCCGTATATGAGGCGGGATCGTGCGACCGGCAGTTGATGCGAATGGTCGTGTTGATTCTTTGTTGCAGGGAGAAATGAACCAAGACTGAGCCTCGGACGGTCCGGTTCGGCGACTTCCGGTAAAGGGCCTGCAAATCCGTGCCTACATGCTTTCAGTCCGACTTAAAAAAGCCTTCCACCCCGGATTACAAGCTGCAAATAAAAAATTGCCGCGACACGTGTTTGTACACTGCCAACCGAGTTTCAAAAGACATGTTGCCGTTTAAACATGGTTTTCCTACCGTAATGCACTGTATCCCTGCACATGTACATGTATGCATGCGTATGTGTATATAAATATATTTGTACACATAATAAAACCTAATTATACCTGGCTACATACAAACAGAGTCATGTGTATATGTATGCGTGTATGTATGTGTATGTATGTATGTATCTATGTA